TACATTTTTGTATGACTAACACCTACAAGCTTATATTAATTTTTTTTTAAATTTTCTATGTTAAAAGATATGCATAAATTTTGACTAAAATCTATAAAGTGAAAGGTTAGGCCTAATATTCAAATCAAGTAATGTTTATTAAGCAAACAAACAATTTACCAACAAATTGCCTATTAAATACATTGCCGATGTAATTTTGTTTGTAAGGCTATATTTATAGTTGGATTTTTTTATTTCTCTATTAAGTGTTAAAAACTAATCAAACAGTAGCAATTGTTATGTTTGGTTTTTTTCTTTTAGGTCTTCACTGAAAGAAAACACCAAATCTAATGAACTACGGAACGTGCTGACAAATAATGTATACAAAAACGTTAGTGCGACAAAATCCTCAAAAGACCTACTGTATTCGTAACGTAAACATAAAATTCGAAGACAAACAACAACAATAACCAAATATGTCTTGTCGATCTGAGCACGATGATCGTGTTAAAGCTATAAAAATATAACAGATCCTCATCAAATTACCAAATCTACAAATACGAGTACATAAAATTATTTTATAACCAAAATGTTTAGCGTGATTAATTCAGACTACTGAAATAATATACATACATTTTTTTTTCTCACTTTTAGTCTCTGGATACTTATAGAATCAAATTTTTAATAAGCAGAAAGAATAGTTTATATATGTACACAATGTTATGTGTACATGTCGTGTTAAATTTATGATTTGTTTAATTATTTTTTTATTATTTTAACAGTTCATGATCCTCAGGGTAAAGAAGGTAACGTGAACAATATACAATCAAGGACAATTTTGATTTTATCGTTTGTTATTATTTCAATATATGCATATGTGAATTTATTTCAATTGTATATACATATGTGTAACCAGAAAATGTTTGCAACAAGAATACAATACTTTGTATTAAATAAATGAAATTTTAGCTTAGTTTTACGTATGTTTATATGAAATGATCTTATTAAACAAAAACACATGTTCGAATTGCAAGGTGTTTATCTATATTTATATGTATAATCGTTACTGACTAAGTGATCCAACTGCAGGGAGTATAAAAAAAAATAGGAAAGTACCACAGAAGATCAGTAGTTCTTGCAGTGCTTTATTCAATTGAAAGCCAGCACCCCATCTATTCTATTCTGTCGTATAGAAAGACGTTAGTATCAATTGCAATATTATCCCAGATAGAAGGGTACAGGAAAATATTATAGATTTAATACCTTCAGTATGAAACTCTCCATATTATAAAGAAATTTAGATATCTTTCGACTACAGGCATAATTGGTTAGTCGTCTTTAAGAGGTTTGAATTTTATGATATATTATTTAATTTCTATTTATCACATACATTGTTTTCTTACAATCAGTCGTTAAAGAAACTGTTAAATTGTTCTGAGTTTCATATTATTTATTAATACTAGTAAGTCTTAGCAAGTCTCTGCTCTAGTTTTATGTTTTCTAATCAAAGTAAGTAGTTTATTTTAAAGGCCAATTGTAAGAAAATTGTGTAATTAGAATTCTTTTGAATAAAATGCTTGCAAGATGGTAAGTTAGGTTCTTTTCAGTTCGACTTCTCTTTGACAATTTGTAAATCGGTTAATATTAAAAATGGTACCAAAATCCTTTATCCAGACGATTTTTTTGTATTTATGTATATAATAATACTTCGAAATACTTCGAAAAATATATGAATAATAAAAAAAATTAATAAAAAATAATAATAAAAATAATAATAAAAAACAATCAATACAAAATTTTATGCAGAAATATATATAAAAAATCTAAGAAATCGTATATGCAAAAAATTTGTTGACTTTCTATATGTTTTAACCTTTAATTTTGTATAATGTTGTCTTATTTTTAATATAATTATATGTACATACTTTTTTCTAGAAAATCACTATTATAAGAGATGGTATTTTTCTTGAAGAGGTATTCAAAGATCATAATTACAATTTTGATTTAATTTTGTATATCTTTCATCAAATTTATGTGTGAAAATAGTGCCCGCCACTGTTGACAATACTTGTAGTTTGCCGGTAATAAAAGCACAACATATGCAAAATAAGAAATTAAAAAAATAAAATTAGTTTTACTGCCACAAATATTAAAACTATGGCAACATCACACACTATTAGTCGTACCGCTCTCTTCGAATTGTTCGAAATTGTATCTAAATAATTTGCTTATGTATCTGTGAGCTATAAAAATACAAAGTTAAATAAAAATACATAGTCGACTTTTTCCTGCACGTAACAAAACTATAACCAAATAAACTTTTCAAGTCGTATAGTTGCAATGTAACAAATCTTGATTTTTTATGACTTGACTTTTAGTTGCGTTGGTTCTATGGTAAATAGATACTAGGCTAATTTAAATATTTTTAAAAAAATCTTTAAAATTTTTTTTTAATTATTTTTTGTTATATTTTTTATAAATTATACTCTTTATGTTTTTATAAGTTTATTTAATATTTTCATTTATAATCTTCTTTTTATTAAATATCCCATAAAACTTTTTCTATATCTGATATTTTATAATAAATATAAATTTAATAATTTTCTTATAATTTTATATTTTTTTTTGAATAATTTTAAAATTTTTTTTTTTTTAATTATTTTTTAATTATTTTAAGGTATATATCTTTAAATTATTTTTTTTAATATTTTAATTTAATAATATTTTTACTATAATTTAAATTACTGGTTCTATATTGTGCACATGCCTTCGTGTTGTAAAACTAGTATACGTCACAGATACTTTTAGCTTTAGCTTTAGCTAACTAACGTAATCAATATCAACTGTAATCTTGTTGTCACCAACATAATCAGTTTATACAAGTTTTTTTTTTTTTTGTATATTTTTTATATTAAAAGTTTGGTCTTGTTTTTTATTCTCGTCTATATTTTTTATCTCAGCCGCTCTGATGCTATTATATTTTTTGTATTACTTTTATTTTCTGTCTGTCTAACTTTTTACTTTCTTACTTGTCTGTAATGGGGGATTTATTCATAACTTTTTTTTCAATTCTGTGGTCTATTGAAGTCAACACTGATTATAACTTTTAAATAGCCTATGGCTATAGTAGAATTAGTTTCTCAAGGAGATTTCGTTTTTGGTTGAGTTTAGCCTCTAGCATTTTATGTGACACAAATAAAAATTTGTTATATGATGTAGGCATTTGTTTTGAAGTGTGATACATTTTATTTGACAAATAGACTCAGTTTTTAAAAATCATAAGTCTTACAGGTTTGTTCATTAAAAATACCATGCACCATAAATATATTTCACTTTAAGTTAAAATTTTTTAAATAAATATTTTATCTAATCTTCATGTGGTGACGTGTGTAACGTTTAAATGAGGTTACATTATTCTCATCACTACATAACCGTAATTCATGGATAAGAATCTTACTTTCTAATTAAAATAAGCGCGAAATTTTATTTTATAAATATTATTTCAGTTAAAAATAAACAAACTGTTCATAATTGCTATCTAATTCTACATCATTCTATATATAAAACCTTTAAAGATTATATAGTGTTTATTAATATTTAAATTAAAATTTTTTGCAACATTTTTTTACCACATAAAAGTACTTAAAGAGAATCTACTAATCTATTACAAGCTTTAAAAATAATTATATTTTTCATAATTGTAGTTGCCTTTCAGCTCAATTTAAAAACAAAAATAGTGTCAGATTCGGTCGTTGGTTGGTTTAGGTGGTGACTTTCCCTGAGTTCAAATTCGTGTCTTTTTCTTACCGTATCCTTGTTACCAGTTAATTGTTTGGTTGCTTGTATAG